ACACACAGACACACACAGACACACACAGACACACACACACAACACACACACACACAACACACCACGCACCACGCACCACGCACCACGCACCACGCACCACGCACCACTCACCACACACCACGCACCACGCACCGTGCACCGTGCACCGTACACCACGCACCATGCGCACACAACCGCGCATGCGCACGCGCGCACCCGCACGCACGCACACACGCATACAAGAACACCCACACCCACAAACCCATTCGCACACGTCCACACACATCCTCACACTGAAAAATCACACATATCCCAACACACGCACTTCGACAGCCCAACTCTTCGTGTTCAATACCCTAACAATTGCAAAAAACAGGCTCCTGGCACGTGTAATTATTCCAGCTCAGTTTCATCCTGAAAACGTTTGAGCTCAGTCAAGCGCCGATCGGTCAACTCCGGAACATTGAGGCAACTACCAGGTAGCACACTCGTAACCCAGCATATTCCATCATATTTTCTCACCTCTACTCACATTACAGCACAGTGACAAAAACACACATCACAACAGCAAATGTTCAACTGGACTCTCGGTCTACCACTTTGACTTAAGTAGCTGCCCAAGAAATATCCAGCGCCGCAAGCACACGCAGGGAACTCTTACAAAGTATGCATAACATTGTGTAAATATATCCGTATATGTGTGTACATATATATATATATATATATGTGTGTGTATTTGTGTAATTCCATATGTATGGAACACATCATCAGGATCTCTTTTCTCCTTTGCTGGGTGCTGCGTCGATAGCAAAGAAATGTCGCAGGTGAGCTCCTTGCCAATCTTGACGCGGAAGCGTACCTTGAAACGGACGACCAAGGCTATGGCAACCTGACAGAACAAAGCATGTGGGTATGTCTTTTTTTTTGGGGCCCCCAACAATATAATAACAATAACATGAATTGGTGGTTTACTTTAATTAGTTCTCCTTGAAAGGAACCCAACAAATTATAGCTTACCTCATGCCGAAAGACAATGGTCAACCCAATCGAAACCGGGAGACATGAAGCACGCCCTTCCCAAAGTCAAAGTCGTGCTTTTACCATTGAGAACCTTGCTCTCCGTTGGCTTCCTAAATCTTTAGAAAGCTCGAAGGCCTTGCTCTTGGAATCAGACCAACCAGGACCAGCCTTGGGCTCTTGGTCTTCGCAGGCTGCGTGTTCAACGCAGTAATTTCCTTGTGCCAAGCTGACTTGGCCATCTTAGGCTGGCGCCTCCCGAAACAAATTCAAGGCTTGCCGGACATGCGGCAGCAAGTATATTTGAGGGTACCCGTTTTGGGGGCTGCTTAAAGGGGAAACCGAAAGGAAAGCCAACCCATTTTGTGGGTCCCCGATGTTGACACATACCCACCTGCGGCAAAGGTATGCCACATCCCTGGTTGATCTTCCAAGCAAAGAATATGCGAGCCGAAAGCTAACGAACCCTGATTTCAAGAGGACGCCCTTTGGAATGCAAAGGTTCAAAGGCTTCTCGCTCATGTTGGTTTCGGCCCCCGTTTTCCCATCTCTCCCTCGCCTGCGGGAAGCGAAGGTGAAACTGCCACATGGCCCCCACCTTGGCTTTCGCAGGTCGTTTCCCATTCAGGTGGTGCCTAATGAATACCCCAAAACAAGGCCCTTAGTGTGATTGCAATGAGCCATGAGACAGTTGGGGTCCTGAGATTTTTCTGAGACCAGGGTCTGTCGAATTGGTCTTGGAAAACTTTAAAAGACGTAAACAGACTCAACAGACACTTCCCTCATTTAACACTCATAGCTATTAGCCTCTGGGTGTATCACAATCGGGGGGCCCCCAAATAAGATGTTCCTTTCGGTAAGCCAACCTTACTTAAAGGGGCATGGTTCTTAGTAAGTGGGTAATAACCATGGTTGCGGCTTACTTTGCCATGAGCATAAGTCTCCTAAGTGCGTGTTAACCGGGCTTACTAAACACTTGCTAAGTAAGCCGAAAACACCAACCCATCCCACTTGACGAACACTTATTAACTCTAAGTTTCTGATTGGGCATCGAGTTTTTGCCAACTTTTGACAACATATTAGCAATTAGCAAACCTGTCGGAGCCACAGAGTGAAGGATCCCGTACATATCAAACCACCAAAAGGTTCCATTACCCTACTCTTCGACACACCTCCTTTGTAGAGGACCTGCAGAAACCGGGTGCCATGCTAATCCTCACTTGCCCAAAGGCCCTGGAAATCCCGGTTACCCTTTTGGGACCTTTGCCTTGACTAAAAGTGGACCAACTATGGAACACCAAAAGTCAAAGGTGGATTTGCTTTGGACGACTGAGAACTTGGGGAGTTCGTGGTAACAATGTCCAGTCAGCCTCAGGGCCCAGCACAGGATAAGCACGGAGCTCCAGTGACGTAGAGTTGCAGGTCCCCGCGGGCATCTGGCCATTGCCCCTGGCTTGTTGGCGGTCACCATGGCAGGTTTGCACGTGAAATCCTCTAAAGGGAACGCCGAAAAAGGTGGGTTTCCTTTTAATTTCCCTTGGTTTTCCCTTGGTATTCCGTTGGTTTCTCTTTGGTATTCCTTGGTTCCAGCTGCAGGGTTTACATTGACCTCAGCCGGGGGAGATAAAGGTGGAGTAAGGCCATGGGCCCGCGTGCAACTCTCGCCTGGCTAGGGCACAACTGGGCGATGTCCTGAGCACATCGCAGGTTCTTTCAGCCGCTCTTCAGGACAACTCCGCAGGATGGAGTTCAACACGAGCAATTGTGAGACATGCAAAGGCCCTCGTGAAATCTCCCGAGAATCAAACATGCAACACTACCTTGTTGCAAACCATCTAACGTGATGCCTCACAAACACGGGACAATTAGGGAGCAATACCCATCCCCTTTTTGTTGGGAAGTTGGGCGGCCTATGCCACCGACAAACAATATATTCTACTGAGGCCATCTGGGGCCCTTTTCAGCAAGCAACCACAAGCCGAAACCAACCATTTGGACATGCCGCATCCCTGGCTCCCTGCGACGCGCGGAGTCCTCGCAAAGCTTGGCCAAGAGCTGGTTCTCGCTGCACAAGCTCCGGTCCACCAATGCGTTGCACCTTTGCACCCCCCCTTGCAAGAGACCACTGCTGTATCAATCGGACACTTATTGGGCGTTTGCCTCAGCCACGAGAATGGAAAGGATGAGCATGATTCGAAACAAGCTTTGCTTGGTCGCTCGTTGCATTTCAAAGTTGAAGGGGCGCTGAGCTGATGCTGATTGCACTCCGTCTCTCTCTCTCTCTACCGTTGCATCCATGACTGGATTGCACTCCGTCACTACAGCAGTTTGCCTGAGCACGCCGCGGCAAAGTGGTTGCACGAATCCAGTCCTGGCCGGAAACAAGAGGTGTGCCGATGCATCAACGACCACGTGCATAGGGCATTTGCGTTAATAGCACAATGTGCTATTTTGCATACATCCACATGACTTTTGACAGGCTAGCTTTAAACCATACGAGCTCTGCAAAGAGATGCTCTTCCTATGTGCTCAACGGCAATATATCATTGGCTCAGTGACATCAAGCGTCCTCTGGCCATTTGCAGATCCCCCAACCTACGTGGCCATTGTCCCATGGCTTCTGCTTCAGCATGACACCTGAATACGCCCAGCAGCGGTCTCCTCTTTGGGCCGCCAGCCCTGGTAGCCATTCTGCTGGAAGCGACCACCTGAAACCTGACTGCCGGAAGGTTGAGGAAAGCGACAGCTGGAATGAAGCCCGAGATTCTCTGCAAGTAAATCAGCAGAGACGTGAGGCCACTACCTCCCAAAAGCATTTCAAGAGGGTAGGGGCCTTTCGCCTCCCACAGAGTTGCCAGCATCTTGCAGAAGAGGGCTCAGGCTGGCTTCCAAAAAGCAAAGCGAACCCAGAAAATGTGACACTGGGTACAGGCTTGGAGCTGTTGATTCGCCGGCCGCAGCTTCCAAGCACAGTCAATTTCGGATCAAACTGCCCCCCCCTTTCAGCACGCACGCAGCCACATTTGACACCAATGAGTGTGGCAGCTGCGCCGGTCCAAGTAGAATGAAGAAACAACACGGCGCATCGAGCATGTGGTCTGAATGCCCTGCAGATTCGTTTCTGCGCATCTCTTGGCAGTTGAAAGCCAGTTCCTGGCAGGATGAAGCCAACCTCTGTGCGCCGTCTCAATTTGCATGTTCGTGGTGCTGAAACGGAAAAGCAGGGGCACTGCTGGCGACTTCTATTTGAATTTGGATTCCGCTCAAGTTTTTGCCGAGCAAACATCAGAATGTTGAGAGCGCTTTGACTCCTCGCGGACAAAGCTCCATGAATGAACACGCATGGTGGTCGCCAGGTTGGGGGTGAACAACTGCTGCTTTCCCTGAACAACTGCTGCTTTCCCTGCCCCCATTCCCCCCCCCCCCCCCGCCAAAAATCAGCAAGAAACAAAGCACCCAGGCGGCTAGCCTGTTAGAAGGAGGTTGAGGCACTTTAAGGAGTAAGGAGAAGCCGTTTGGTGGGGCTTGCCGGACTCCGGAGTGAATTGCAGAGCTCCGGCCTGAGCATCCCCGATGGTGATGTCGACCTCTGCGAAGCTCAGAACCTCAAAGAGACGAGGTCTATGAGGAATTGGGATGTTTGTGGCTCCCAGCAAGGAACTCTAAAAGGAGCTCTCCTCTACCGATGGCCTAGGCCATGGGATTATCATGTGTGCAATGTCTTCCAATCGAGGTGTGTGTGTGTGTGTGTTTCCAACCAGCCAATCCATGCCGCCGTGGGATCTGAGCATATTTTTCTGGTGGGCTGCGCGTGGCCAAGCCGCAGCAGCCAAGGCCTGGCAAGAGCTGCAGGAATGAGCTTCCCTACATTTCCCCTTCGAACATCACCCCCACCAAAAGGAAACTCAATTCAAAATGGTCCAAACGATGATGCTTATCTTTGTTGAGCTCAACAGGCCAACAACCCAACAGCCAGCCCAACACCCAACAGCCTAACCGCCCAACAGCCCAGCAAAAGCAACAGCCCAACAAGCCACCCACCAACCCACCAACACAAAAACCCAACAACCCAACAACGCAACAGCCCAACAACCCAACAGCCCAGCAGCCCAACAGCCTAACAGCCTGACCCAACAATCCAACAGCCCCCCAACAACCCAACAGCCCAACAACCCAAAAACCAACAACAACTGCCCAGCAGCCCAACAGCCCAAAACACCCCAACAGTCAAACAACCCAGCTCAACAGTCCAACAACCCAACAGCCAGCCCAACACCCCAGCAGCCTAACAGCCCAACAGCCCAGCAGAAACAACAGCCCAACAAGCCCACCAATTTTTTAACCCAACAACCCACCCACCCAACAACACAACAGCCCAACAACCCAACAGCCCAGCAGCCCAACAGCCCAACAACCTAACCCAACAACCCACCATCCCTTATAAAAGCAACAGGCCAGCCAAACCCCAAACCCTAAACCCTAAACCCAGCAGCCCAACTGTTTAACAACCCAACAGTCAAACAACAGCCCGACAGCCAGCCAAACAGCCCAACAGCCCAGCCCAACAGCCCAACACCCTCAACCAAACCCTACCCAAACCCTAAACCCCAACCGGTCTGGTTTGTGTGAGTTGTGGCGTGGTTGGGGGGCCACGCAGCCAGTTCGGCCAACACAATATCTATGCCCAAGCTGGGTACTAGAACAGCTACATGTTTTTGGCCCTACAGGTATCAACTCTTCCGATTTGCGAGAATTCTACTGATAATGCGCACCCTGAGCCTCCCTTACAAAGGTTCCATGTGTAGGGCCATCTGTCAATTCGCTTCAGGAGTCAATTCCAAGGGAACGGCACAAAGTCCCTGGACGCATCTGAAGCTGGAAGCAAATGGGAGAAAGAGTGCCGATGGAAGGCTGCAGTCCAGTCCTTGGAACTGCTACAAGTTCCAACATGTGCCAGGCAAAACTCCTCAGTCTACTGCCTGTGGCTCCTCAGGACAACTGGCCGCGGGCTGACTGGCGCAAACAGCGGAAGCCCGACAAAGCGACACTTTCCGGGGTTCTCTGAAATCCCTCAATATGAAATGAGGATGAGGTTTTCAGGCTATACCTTGACATAACGTGGCCAGGTGATTGTCATTGGAGGTCCAGCAGCCGGGTTCTGAACTTTGAGCAAGTTTGCCGACAGCAAGACATACCTGCGGCGATTCTCTAAACGGGATATTCCAGCTGTTGCTGACCATCGGCACATATGATGCTCTGCCTGGGGTGGGAGTGCAAAAAAAAATTGATAAGCAAAGCACTTCTGCCCGTGCCCTTTGATCCAATGCGCAGTACACACATCCAACGCCTGCCTCTCAGCTCGCTCCGCCTTGCAATGCGGTCACCAACGCTTTCCCTAACTTTGAGCCAAACTAAACGGTTTAGGCAACTTACAGTTCTCGTGAATTAATCTGACTTCTTTTCGGGATTCACCACAGCTTCGTGGGTTTTCGCTCGTTTAAGACCTTTTGTTTTGGGCCAAGGTTCGGATCTTGGGTTTTCGCTCGTACCCCCGAATCGATGGTCGTCTCCCACATCTTTGGACCATGCAGTCCGGCAACGTCCCTTCGTCTTCACCCCGGTGAAGCTCCGCCGTGCGTCCAGAAATTAACAAACTGGCAACAAATTCCACGGCTGCAATCTTTTGAAATCTTAAGATAGCAAGCCAAAAACTTCAAGTTCAAAGCGTTGGATCTGCCAACCAATCCAAAATCTGGGTAAGAACATGGAGATCAACTGCTTGAGACGTGTAGTCAAGGCATGCTACCAGTTGCTGCGGTTCCAAACTCCAACACGTCAGCAAACACACACACACACCCTCAAGTTTTGCCAAGTGCCACGCAATGCCAAGCATGTACATCCACCGAGCGTGGGTTGACACAGACCCAGTATCGTCGCACCATATTCACTCTCACTCACAACTGGCTAAGCCACCGGCTGGCGAGCAATTGGCCATTTTTGAAGGCTTTCTTGTCACCTGTCATTGATCAACATCGAAGCACTCCTCCAAGGTACGGGTAGTGACTACGGTTAGCGCAGTTAAGGAGTACTGCACAAGTACTAAACGAGCACCAATGAACCACGGGAACTTCTGGAAGAACCAACGCCTATCCGAACAAGTATCCTGTGAACGGCTCTTGAGAGACGCAACCCCCCATGAGGATAGCAATCATTGAAATTGAGCGCTACTCAATTCTCCCACTGTGCTAGCTGTCATCACCATTCAGCGCATGGTCAGCTTGGCTGATGGGGAAATCATGGAAGGCCAGCGCCTTCCCGTACAACGCTAGACAACCCAACGGAGCGCAGGCACGCACCTGCACTGGCCAAATCAAGAGATACCGACCCAAAGGCCAACATGTTCTGGATCCAGAAAGCCCCGGCCTGGCGCAAAGTCTATTTGCATGTCCACCGAGTCGTCCATTGCTTTCACGACTTCCCTAAGAAATGCCTCAGCTGCCAGTAGAGACATGTAGAGACCCCAAGCCCACCTTACGACCCAACACCGATGCCCAAACCCACACACACAAACAAACCATACCCGAAGCCGACCTAATAACCCGAAGCCCAAGTTGCAAACTCACATTGAGCCCGCTGCAAACCAAATCCACCTGCCAGACTAAACATCCTAAACCCGATCCCCACCTCAACACAAAGACCCAACCCGAACCTACTGACCCCAAACACATCCTGGACCCAACGCCGCGTGGGAACCACCTGAAAAGCGCCGTTCGCCCAATGCGATCTTTTCTCTCTGCTATTTGGAGGTCTCGATTTTTACAGGTCCCACGAAAATCTGTTGCTACCTCATCTGCAGGGAACACGGGAAAAACATGAACTAGAGGACGACTGGCCCGAAAGCATTTTTCCACAGGTGCTCATCCAGCCGCGGAGACACCTTTTTACATCGCTGCGGCGAGCGTGTCTGCGCGCGGCGATGCTCAGTGTGTATGGTCACATGAGAGCTCCATCTCATCATCCTACTTTCCTCTCGAACTGCGCCGCGCGATTTCTCACGAAAGTGGTCTGCGCAAGCTGCATTGTTCCAGGCTGCTGCGCGCAAGTTGCTCTCTGCAAGCTGCTGCGCGCAAGTGCTCTGTGCAAGTTGCTCTGCGCAAGTGCTCTGAGCAAGTTGCTCTGCGCAAGTGCTCTGCGCCAGTTGCTCCGCGCAAGCGCTTTGCGCATGTGCTCTGCGCAAGTTGGTCTGTGCAAGTTGCTCTGCGCCTGCTCTGTGCAAGTTGCTCTGCGCAAGTGCTCTGAGCAAGTTGCTCTGCGCAAGGGCTCTGCGCCAGTTGCTCCGTGCAAGCGCTTTGCGCATGTGCTCTGTGCAAGTTGGTCTGTGCAAGTTGCTCTGCGCAAGTGCTTTGTGCAATTGCTCTGTGCAAGTTGCTCTGCGCAAGTTGCTCTGCGCAAGTGACTCTGCGCAAGTTGCTCTGCGCAAGTGCTGCCGGAGCTGCGGGGGTGTGCTCCGCGTACTACGTTTGTACTTAAAAGTTGCGATTCTCCAGCCGGAGCTGCGGGGGTGTGCTCCGCGTACTACGTTTGTACTTAAAAGTTGCGATTTTCCAGCCTGAGCTGCGGGAGCACGCTCCGCGTACTACGTTTGTACTTAAAAGTTGCGATTTTCGCCGGAGCTGCAGGAGCACGCTCCGCGTACTACGTTTGTACTTAAAAGTTGCGATTTTCAGCCGGAGCTGCGGGGGTGTGCTCCGCGTACTACGTTTGTACTTAAAAGTTGCGATTTTCCAGCCTGAGCTGCGGGAGCACGCTCCGCGCATACGTCTGTACTTAAAAGTTACGATTTTCCAGCCGGAGCTGCAGGAGCACGCTCCGCGTACTACGTTTGTACTTAAAAGCTGCGATTTTCAAGCCGGAGCTGCCGCGGACCAGGGGGGAATCGAACCCGCGACCGCGGGATTGCGAAAGCAGGCGCGCAAACCACGAGACAACTTCCAAAGGCCGTTTCGCGAGCAAGAATATTGCACGGCGCCACAGCGAGAGCGCTTCGACACGTACAATCTCCGCAGAGGGTTCGCCGAGACTAAGACAAATTCGCACGGCGCCACAGCGAGAGCGCTTCGACGCGCATCTCCGCAGAGGGTCGCGCGCGGCCAGCAGAAATCGTAAAAAGTCCTCAGTTTTTGAACCTCGACCACGCGAATCTCCGCAGAGGGTCGCGCGCGCATGCTAAAAATCGTAAAAAGTCCTCAGTTTTTGAACCTTGACCACGCGAATCTCCGCAGAGGGTCGCGCGCGCATGCAGAAATCGTAAAAAAGTCCCCAGTTTTTGAACCTCGACCACGCGAATCTCCGCAGAGGGTCGCGCGCGGCCAGCAGAAATCGTAAAAAGTCCCCAGTTTTTGAACCTCGACCACGCGAATCTCCGCAGAGGGTCGCGCGCGCGAAATCGTAAAAAGAAACCTCGACCATCGCATCGTCGTAAAAAGTCCTCAGTTTTTGAACCTCGACCACGCGAATCTCCGCAGAGGGTCGCGCGCGGCCAGCAGAAATCGTAAAAAGTCCTCAGTTTTTGAACCTCGACCTCTCCGCAGAGGTCGCAATCCCG